GATACGTGAGGCATCCAACTCACAGGGCTCTCTCGTGTTTCAGAGCAGAGAAGGCAAGCTGGGTGGAGGAGCTGAGCCCACGAAGGAGTGGTGGGGACGAGGTGTATGAGGAGTGGGGTGAGTCCCTCCACAACAGGTTTCAAGTTTGGTTTGTAGACGTCTGTTTACATTTGTTTGTTTGCTGCCTCAGCCCCTCACTCGCATCTGATTAGGCGTCGAAGCACAAACATACTGTACGATGAGAAGAACGATGATTCATTACCTGACAGCATAATAGCGAACCAATTTGGAAAATTAACAGTAATTTCTCTCCTTGAAAATTTCCGTAGCACACACAGTAGACGATATTATAGCCGAATTAATTAATACCCAGGCTGCAAATTGCAAATGCACTCCGCTTTTCACGCACAGGCGTCCTAAACAGCTACAATTACACCCTACATAATGAAATACAAGTACCTAATAATAAAGCTGTACTAACGCAGTTAGGGAGAACTATGAAATAAATTGTACTAAAAACGTAAAATCCTGATCATTGCCTCTAATCCCAAGAAATGCTATTTCTCTATTTGACCACAAGAGGGCAAAGTAGACAAAGTATTGAGTACAACCGCATTCTTGCTAACTTTTCCAATCCGTCCGCCGTGGGGTCTAACTCTTCCACGTTGTGGGGGAGTTGTAATATCTTTTCGGCTGGTTTTTCGCTTTCAGATTGTCCCCAGGTCCAGTGCACAGAGGCCTACAGTGCCCAGCAACCCGGAGAGCTCAGCCTGAGGCCTGGTGACATTATCAATGTTATCCAGAAAACAGCTGACGGTGGGTAGATCCGAAATTCTTCTTCTTACGTGGCTCTCATGTCATGTGCTGTGGAGATATTTTATTTTTTTTAAATACGTCATGTCTGTACACATTTGTTATTTTCAAACGCTAGGGTTTCGTTTGGAATTAAAGGTCTGTACAAACCTTCAAGAGAAGCGTCTTTCCGTCTCCTTAGTCATCCGTAATAAAAACCCGAAACGTGTTCCTTCTTTTAATCTGGAATATTCCTTATTGACGCATTACGGCTTCCCGGAAAACGTCTATGCACTCTGAATCTGGTCCTCTAGCCTGGTGGGACTACAAACATGTAATGTCAAAAAACATTAGACTGCAGAATCGAAGTGCACTCTGGCTGGAGCTCACCTCCCAAAGATCCAAGTCTAAATTGTGTGCATTAAAGAAATTGGGCCAATTTCACAAGAGGCACGTGGCTTTGAATGGAAAAAGAACAACCTTTTGACTTTCACCACAAATAAACGTGTTTTTTTTATAAAACCGATAATTTATGTATATAAAATGTGGTAAACAGTATGCACAACTTGCATAAAATAATCCCTTGATTGGAAAACTGGGAGCCTTGTAATCCATTGAGTGCGATATAGGCTAGATGAGCTGAATGACCTCCTCCTGTTCATAAGGGCACAGTGTGCTCAGGAGGGGCAATTAGAAAGTAGTCTTCTTGCTCGCTGCAGCATTCAGGGAGTAGGCGTAAGCCAGTTATTCCCTTGGCAATAGCTTTGCTGGATAGTCTAGTCAAGATGAAACTTCAGTGAATCTTGTAAACTGAAATGCTTGAAATTCTCCAGCTCCTGAAAT